ATCAATAAACCTTTCTTTGGACCGATTTATTGATCACACATTAAACCAAATAATCGTCACACGTTTATCACCACAGGTGCACGTGTATTCGGCTAAATATTGACCTTCCTTTGGGTCGACCAATATTTCCATGAATAACACGTGCACAAACACTTTTTAACATTCTAAGTTAGTCAATTTTCACAAGAGATGTTGCTTTGGCAACATTTTGCTTCAATTAACTAACTTTCGAATATTATATCTCTTTAAAAGAGTCTTTAATACCAAAATTTGATAAAGAGAATCACCAATTTTGCATATTTTGATTAGTTTTAAACTTTAGGGGCCTTAGGATTAATAATTCAAAACTTTAAGGGGGCAAAATTAATTAATTCCAAACTTTAGGGGTCGAAATTAATAAACTTGAAACTTTATGGACCATAATTAATTAATTCAATACTTTAGAGGATCAATTAGAACAAATTTTAAAACTTTAGGGGCCAAAATTGATCAATTCAAAACTTTAGGGATCAAATTTTAAAAATTTGAAACTTTAGGGGTCAATTTGAATTAATTATGAACTTAGTAGGCCAATTTGAATTAATAATTAAATTTTGAGGGCTTTAATTATAAATTCAGAACTTTAATGGCCCGAATTAATTAATTTTAAAACCTTAGGGACTGAATTATTAAATCTGAAACTTAAAGGCCCAAATCTCAATATAACTTAAAGGTTAGGGACTGAAACCTTAATTTTATAACCCTAACCCTAATTGCAACCAGGGGCCTTAACTTATCTAATTTACAGAGGAGGCCCCCGCCCCCAAAAAAAAATTTTTTTTTTTTTATAATGAACCGGCGCTGCTACCTGCGCAGCGCTACGCAGGCAACGGCAAAAAAAAAATTTTTTTTTAAAATTTTCTGAATCTTATTGAAATCTAAATTCAAAAAATCCATAAAATCCATAATCCGAAATTTCGAAAATAACAAGAATTATACCGCAAAAATTTTCAAATTTAACAAAATATATAACCAAAAAATTGTTAAATCTGAAAATTTCAAAATATATTGCAAGAACCAAACGAAAACCTTTGATTCTCAATTATTCAACATGAAGAGGCTCTGATACCACTTGTTGGAGAATTTAGTGCTTTAAATTACTGGATCTTTCATGTTAAATCATCGAGAAATATAAGAATTAAAGCGGAAGCATACCTGAATCAGACATGGTTAATGCAATATGAATTTCACGGTATGATCTTCCAAATCTACACGTAATCTTCTTTTCCTCTATGTGAAGGGATGCAGTAGAGAATGAATAATTCGTTTCGTGTGATCTGGGGACCATAACCTATTTATATGGGGATGCCCTTTGACCTAATTCGACCCATCATAGAATTAGGATTTGGGCCCGATCTCTACACATATGTAAATCCATACTTTAATTGAATGCATTAAAGCCCAAAACTGAAACCTTATTAGATCACTATAATTGAGCTCAACCGAATTCGATAGCCTATAATTTAACACACAATTATTTACACATACAAGCCCATCTTTAATTAAAAATCCTTACATGATCAACATGCTATTAGAGTTAGTGAAAGAGTACATGGATTTAAGTCTTTTAATTATTCATTAATAAAAACATACAAGTCGTATCTTTAATCAGAAAATGCATATACAAATATTACCATTCTCGAATGTATAACTTCGGTTTTTAGATGAGGAGGTGATTAACTCGTAAATGTGCAAAAGAATGAATTATTTATGTGCATACGAATTGTAAAGCATACAATTGTAACAATTAAAGTTGCTAGTACCAACTTTAATCATTTTGTTTTCCAGTTATGTGGATTCCTGTTAGATTTCTTTATTAGCCTAAATGGAATATAATTAGTTCTTGGCTTTATGTTTGAGCAAAATGACTTGATAAAGAAAAATTTAATGTTTATGCATGGCTTTGTAAGTGTTCCCGTACAAGGATTATTCTCAAACTACTCCAACGAACTCTATAGTGGTTCTAGCTCACCAAATATGCTAACAAATTAACCATAGGGTGGGGTGTTGTGGGGTGGGATGGGATGGGATGGGGTAGTTTCCTACAAATACCATTGAGACATCATTATCTCTTACTGTAAGTGATCGAGACAGAAAACATTTGAAGAGATTATACTATGGCAGCCATATGTTTCTCTTTAGTGAGTGTGTTTATATTTTCTTTAATATCGGGTTATTCTAATGCATTAAGTGTAGATTACTACCACCAAACATGTCCTAAGGCCGAGTCGACGATACGAAAAGCTGTAAAGAAAGCTATGATGAATGACAACACAGTTCCAGCAGCTCTACTTCGGATGCACTTCCATGACTGCTTTATTAGAGTACAATTTTCCAATATGACTTTTACTAATAATTTTTTCGTTCGTTTTTCAGTGTTTTTCAATTTTCACTATGATTTTCATAGGGTTTATTTATATATATTTTAAGGGTTGTGATGCTTCTGTGCTGCTGAACACCAAGGGGAAGAACAAAGCTGAAAAAGATGGCCCTCCTAACATTTCCTTGCATGCATTTTATGTTATTGACAATGCTAAAGAGGAAGTAGAGGCACAATGTCCTGGGGTAGTCTCTTGTGCAGATATATTGGCTCTAGCTGCTAGAGATGCAGTTGCTCTTGTAAGTTCGACTTCGACTTGTGATCACGACTTTTATCCAATCATGATACCGTATTCGAACCATCAATTCTCCTAAAAGTTCAAACTCTTAGATAATAGAAGAATTCTTTTATTCATATCTATATTCTCAGGCTGCATATGTTTGGTAAGCTTGACTAGACAAGACTAAAACTGAATGAAAAAAAAAGTGATGCATTTAAATTTTTTTTATCGATTATCAAGTGTTACGTACCGAATACAGAATAGGATGATCATATAGATTCAGTGCAGTTGTTTTAACTACTTCAATTGAGTATGTTTTGGACAAATTCCATAAGTAATAATTTCACTAAATTCTAGTCTGGAGGTCCAACCTGGGATGTGCCGAAAGGAAGAAAAGATGGAAGAATTTCAAAGGCTACTGAAACCAGACAACTACCAGCACCGACCTTCAATATAACTCAATTGCAGCAAAGCTTCTCCCAGAGAGGCCTATCCATGGATGATTTAGCGGCACTCTCAGGTAACTGTAATAGTCTTTCTCAAACTAATCTTCTCACTTCAGCATGATATTTTTTATCTGTCCTCGTGGCACTAAGCACCTATTCGATTCAGCTAAAATTCATATTTTAGTAGATTTTAATAAAAGTTGATAAAATGTATAGTTGTAAAGTTCATAAACATCGTGGGTTCCATAAAAGTATGGTTAATAATGAGTTTAAAAAAAATAAATTTTAGAAAGATGAGGACCAAACAGGGACTAAATCATGTCTGTCATGCTACATGGTATTACACAGAGAGAAGAGTACTAGTCCATTGTAATAATTCGGGACCCTTTTGGGGCAAAATTGGGTAGCTCATGATAGAGTTTGGGAGATTTTTTATTTTTTTATTTTTCCTTTTACTTCACAAAGTTGGTAACAAAATTATTTTCTCCACATTATAACCTACCTTGACATATTTGTGCATGCAGGAGGGCACACACTGGGTTTCTCTCATTGTTCATCCTTCCAGAACAGAATCCACAGATTCAACACCACAACAAACATTGATCCATCGATGCAACCATCTTTTGCAGCCAGTTTAAGGAAAATTTGCCCCATTCATAACAAGGTGAAAAATGCAGGATCCAAATTAGATTCTTCTGCAACTACATTTGACAACACCTACTACAAGTTACTTCTCCAGGGGAGAAGTCTTCTCTCCTCAGACCAAGCTTTACTCACTACTTCAAGAACAAAATCATTGGTCTCGAAATTCGCCTGCTCGCAAGAAGAATTTAATAAAGCATTTGTTAAGTCCATGATCAAGATGAGCAGCATCACTGGTGGAACTGAGATTAGGAAAGACTGCAGATTTGTTAGGTAAAAGGTGGTTAAAGTAATTGGGTGCTGAATAACTGTATTTGTGTCTTTGGTATAAAGGTTTGAGGAACAAAAGCAAGTAAGAGAAAGTGAACTTTTGTGTTGTTTGATAATAGAGGAATATAATGTTGTTCAGTAAAAATAATTTATTTCTAAGTTCAACTTAATTGTAATAATTATGGTTAGAGAAAATGTGTTTAAAACGGAAAGCAAACATGGTATGAAGTTGCAAAGCATTGAATGTTTGGCCTAACAAAAATCTGTGTCGTTAAACATTTATCCAACTTCGGATATAGACTGAGTTGTTAGGGCAAACATGTCATGTAGATAAATTGACTACCAATTAAACATTTAAAAAATTAAGGGGATTTTCAATGGGGAGATGTAAATGAAAAATATTCATACGTAGTCAAATTTTATTCGCTTTGAAAGATACATAAAAGAACTCAAGATACAAACATAGAAATTGTTAAAGATTACGAAAATATAAGTTATTACATTCACACGGTATCTCTCATTTTAAAATTCCAAGTAGCCTCGAGAACCTACAAGCTAAAAAAAATTAGTGTGTGTATCCATAGAGTTAGTAATCATGCTAAGCCTAACAAAATAAATACTAGATTGAAATTTTAGACCACATCAAAATATTGTAAGCCTTACAATTACTTCACATTGAGATCAATTAAAATGTTGGCAAAATTCAACAAAGTTTTCTAATGCCATCAAAATATGTAGGAAAAAGCTCCCTGCACAGGCCCCTTTGCACAGGGCCTGTACAGATGTACACACATGGAGGTGGACCCCACACATGGATGCGTACATGCCTTGTACAAAGGGGTCTGTGCAGGTAGCACAGTCCAAATATGTAATATAGAGATGACACGCATTGTTTGGATAAGTTCTTGCTCTTATTGAAAATCACGTTACAACATTATTTTTATTAAAGTATAATCTCCAAATAATTTATATCATCAGTTAAGGATGTTCTCAGGGGCGAAACTAAAATCTTTAGATACATATCTTAAGTGTGAATTGAATTCTTTCTAGTCGCTTAAACTGAAAGAATAATACAAATAAGAGAAAAAATGAAAATTGAAATCTCTAGTGAAGTAGCCATTTCACTATAGAAGCTATTTTTGTTTACCTACATTAATCTGGATCAGCACTTAATTGATTATTTCTTCAAAAAGTAGCCTCCTTGATCTGTTTATGTCAAGAAAACACAGATATATTTGCTTCTCGAGTTCTTCTAATTGCTCCAAGAAAGAAGATCCATGTATCTGAAACTCTCTCAGAACTTCTTTCAAGATTTCATTCTTCCCTTTCCTAACACAAATATCTGCTACAAATTTCTCGTGCTCCAATTCATCATCAAGTCTCTGCACCAATCTGCTTATTGTATCAAAGTCTTTGATCAATATATAAACCCCTCTTGCTGCAATATCAAGCTGCATTCCTAGCATTTCGTATCGGGTTTTCTTCAACTTTTTTCTTCCCACTTTTAATCTATTAAAAAATAAGCTCACAGAAACAAGAACAAACAGTACGGGTGCAACCACCATCCCTACCATTCCATGAGAAAGAACTAGTAGAGGAATGATTAATGCCCCACACGCCCCAACAAAAATGTATGTCATGACTTTCTTGAACCACCTTCTCAATTTTGTCTTCCTCTGTGTTTTCCCACATTCGGATGTTAATCTTTGAAGAAAAAGTAAGTGGTTTTCGTGTAATTCGTGGAATTGTAATGGGGTTATTGCTGATAACGGATTCCTATGCATGACAAATGTAGCAAGATTTCTATAAACAGCAAGGCATTTATCATCTGTATTCCAACTTGCATCATCAGGTACCTTCTTCATTTGCTTTATCGCGGTTTTTATTCCGTGATAATTAGCGCGTGTTTTATGGACGTTTTTGAGGAGCAATTCACATAATCTGCAGGCGTCTAAACTAATCTCAAAGTAACTGACAAGAAGTTGATGAAGCTCAGAGTTTTCAATCATGTAGGCTAGGGTTTCTTGCTGAGGTTCGAGTAGAAACTCATAGAGATGGACATTCCTCGAAGAAGAAGATGTGAACAAGGATGAGGATGACGATGAAGATGAGGATGGTCCATTATCAGTACTTTTTCTTTCCAGTTGGCCCTGAACTTTCTTGTAAATTTCTACGTAAGAATTTGTCCTAAAGGCTTCTTTATATTCTTCATTGACATTTGACTTGGTCACCGAGCTATTCACATCTTCTTTTCCACGTTTACCTGATCAAACCAGTTAACAAAAATGATGATTAATCTCTTAGACAGCATAAAATAAACCATCCATTTCTTGATTGCAAAACACAACAACGAATCCAGATTGTACATGAAATGTACGAAAGCTCTAATTCTGATTGTACAAAAAATTAAACTGATTTGGAACTTACCATCTTTGCTAAAGGGCAATTTGAGATTAGACCAAAACATTTTTTTCATCCCTGTTAATTGACAAAACTGCTCAAGTTTTAGCAAAAGCAGCTCTTTGGTCCGTTCCGGTTGAAAGGTGTGAAAGAGAACGTCGTTTCTTGTGCACGGTAGGGGCCGAGCGAGATAAGAAGAAACTTTATCTTCCAAACAGTCCTAAATAACATTCTTAATTCAGGCGATTTCAAGAAAATTAAGAGTAAAAGAAGAAGAAATAGCTGGCAGATCGGATATATATACACAGTAGCGTTCCTTGCACGTTAAGTTTCGCTACGTGTTACCTGAGGAAAAAATCTAGTATTACCGGCTTTGCTGAATGAAAAAGAATAATTGGTTGAGGAATAGAGTTTCAAGCCATGAATTAATAAAGGACTTCCAGCTAATTAAATTACGTTTTAGGTTTATTTCTAGATATGTATTGACAATTTTGAGGTGACTTTTTCTTTATTTCAGGAATACCCAGTAAAGGAAAATCGCCCCCGAAGAAAAGCTAGAGTTATTTTTCCACACAGTATTGTAATCAGATAAACAAGAATTCTTCTTGTTTCTTATAGACTACGTTGGTTTATGCCATGCATGTTTTTTTCCCCTTTCTTTTCTATGCCATGGGATCGACTAGAAAATTCAACAATAATCGTATTTTTCTTTTGGTAATCTCATTTATTGACTATTTCTTTTTTCAATATCAATGTGGTATAAATCACCTTAGTAAGTACCTGGTTGACATTACTTTTTAAGAAGTCAAAATGATTTTTTGATATTCAAAAGTTGCTTTTTTTTAAACTCATTTTACTAATTTTATGAATGTGTTTTCTTTAGTTAGATGAATTTTTAGAGGAAGTTGGTTCAATTTAGCTTTCAAAAACGCTTTTAAAAGGAAAAACGTTTTTAAAAATTAGTTTCGAAACAAAAATTAAAACAAGCAAAAGTCAATATCAAACAGGCTCTAACTATGTTCATATTTTCAAATCCTCCGATAAATCTATTTTTAGTGCTTAGTCAAGCTTGTTGATATTCCATCAATACTTCGATTTCATATTTTTGGAAAATTAAATATAGTGAAACAATTAATATTAACCACATTTTTCATGGTCTCCACAACTTTTTAACCACACATTTCAAAAACTCACATCACAATCTACCAAAAAATATAATTTTAATCTATACCAAACATCCTTGGGACCTACATTTGCACATGGCGCCGGAGGTGGGTGGCGTTTTGTGGCTTCCAAGATCCCACTAAAATTTGAGGAAGAAATTGTAAATCCTTTTTCTTTCTTTCTTTACCTTTTATTTTAACATCAATATATCTTATTTTTGAAAATAAAAATTCCTGAACTAAATTAGGCCCCACTGGTTCGAGTCCCGGCCTGTTACTGTTTGCATGAACCAATCCAATTCACTTCAATACTTGTGCATTCAATCACAAGTGAAGATCAATTGGACCTTAGGTTGGATCATCTCGATTTTCATTTGAGTTTCTATTCTTGAGATCCAAATTCGAGTTGCAGCAGGTCAACATAGGAATAATACATAAAGCCCCCCCTTCAGTGGCTTTTTTTTTTTTTTTTTGTTGGTTTTTGTCGTTTCAAATACTTGATGCTTTAATAATTTATAAGATTTGACATATGAGTATTGAGTTTTAATTTATATGTTATTTGAGAATTTGTCTATAAATTGTGACATTAAAAATTAATTTGAGTATCATGAAATGTGAAGATGTGATTTATGAAAATTGAAAATGAGAAATTGGGGAATTTATAATTTGTGATGAATTGGTGTTGAGAATTGGAAATTAAAACTTTAATTATATTTGAAAATTAATTCTAATTACGTTTAATCTTTAATTAACGTTCAATTCTCATACTAATTATAGAATGACTTTTTCAACTGAATTTCAATCTAGTTCTTATAGTGGTGTATCTAAGCTCTCAACTACTTTTAATCAAGCAAACGATTTGTTAAGCATTGATAACACAAAGAAGTTTTATGTATTATGTAATTTATATTATTTCGGATTGTGTTGAAATATAATATAATATAAATATACGATTTTTACGTTTTAGTGTATTTACATATAAATCAAAGAATTTTTAATATTATTTTATTTAATATTAATAAACGATATCGCTATATTGCCGTTGACTATCGACAGTCAACGGTCAACGATCAACGGTTGCCCTAGTTGAGTCGAAGTCCTGGATTCGCCCTTGTTCCCATCGCTTTGGGATAGGCACGGGTGCTTGCGAATGTGGATGAGATGGTTTGCTTTTGGAAATGGATGGAATTGCCAAACCACCACCGCTATGAAGAGAACCAACAAGTATGAAGTAGACATGGCTTCGAGAATTGAAAATTGTTCGATGGTGTAAAAGGCTTGTAGAGAAGTCCAGTTTTTATAGGAGAATCGTGCCATTCATTTTGCAACAGGTGTTTATTTATACTAAAGGGCTTTTTATTGATCCTCTTATATGTTAGCTATCCATTTGAAACATATGCTGGTTTTTTTGTCAGTAATTAATGAATTTAATGAGTTCCTCAATGGATATTAGTCGTTAACTTAAATAAAAATCTCCTAATTTTTCACTTGATACAATTTAGAATTTTTCCTGATAAGAAGTATAGTCATCTCCTTCATTTGATGCAAGCTTCCAGTATAAGTTCAAATTTATGTCACAAAAGAAGTATAAATGTTACAGCGCCAAAAGAAATTTCAACACGATTAATGAATTGCTATGAACTACTGCATTTAACCGACATGAGTTAAGTGTTTTTTGAATTATCTTTTTGTTTATTAGTCGAAGCTTTTTTTTCCTAGGCTCGATAATCTGAGCAGAGCAATTAAAAGCATAAAAATATTTGGTATATCTCTCCAACAGTTTAATATTAGATGTTGATCCACCTGCATGTTGAATATGTTGAGAATTTAATATCTTAATTTTATTCCATCTAGAGCAATTAATTAACAGAAATAAATAAAAGACGTGTAAGATTGATGGATGTTCGCTTCAATGTGAGATTACATCATCTTCCATCACTACAATAATTTACAAAATTTATATGG